CAATGATAAGAACGACAGCTTCGTACATATAATACAGACAATGCATAACCTTTAGATAGATAGATAAAACTGAAACAACCACTAGCCTACTAGCCATTTAATACAACAAACTAGTTAAAAAGTAACAGTATAAACACTTATGAGGTGGCAACATAAAACAACAGCTTGAGATTAAATGACTATTGACACATCCTAAGTGATAGGAGGAAGGACTAATTCATGGTCCTCTGTCTTAAATGATATAATAAATTTAATTAAATGCATAATAGTTTTTAAAGTGGAAAATGATTAATCAATTGGATTATCGGAAATAATTACACAATAATAAAAAGAAACTTCGATTAGAAGGGGTAAGTGAAAAATAATCATAGGCTCCATGTAAAGAAAGGGTATATTTACTCAGTATAAACACCCAGATACATTTCTTTGTTTGTAAGATGATAGAGATATCGGTTGAATAGTGCGGTGAGATATAGATATATAAAGACTCTGATCATTATGTTATAAAACATACCTCGCGCTCGTCTACAAACTAATAACCCCACCCCATTTCGCCGCGCCCATCCGAATCCTCGTCATTGACCGCCCACCATCCTGCTACACATACAGAGACGGCGCGCGTCGCCAAACCCGCCCTCCGCATACACAACGCATCCCTGCTCTCATTGTTCCAATAAAGGAAAGACCCTCAACGTGTGGGTGGGTAGGCGTGGTGCGGCTCGCTGCCTAACACCCACGCGCGCCCACATGTGGGGTTGAATGAGAATAGAGAGGCAGAAAAATAGACTACTTGAAGAGTTAGATTCGTTATGTTATAGGATTAAACCTCTCGTTTATTTTTCACCAATTGGGAGAATGATCGACATCAAACAGTTAGTATATACTCACCACCCGGCCACACGCCGCTTAATCCACCACCGGCTCCTGGACACCATCACCCTCACCTTCAACCAGCGCTCAGCTGTCGAACACTTTCAAGGCAGCAAGATCTGTTGGCAAAAAATGGAAATCCAGCCTAGGTTCCCCCACTACTCAGATCCCCCCAGTGCGAGTACACACTCCCAATCCCCTGAGAAAATAAGAAACTATTGTGTTTTTGCTATCACCCCGCTTAAAATCAAGTCTTTTATATACTACACACCAGGATGCTGCACTGTTTCAACTGCATACATTCCAGCTAGGTAAGACTGAACCAACAAATAGGCCCCAAGCCTACACATCCCCTGCTCTTGATCACGGCGCCCATCGCTCGTGCTATCTCTCGCCGCATCCACCACCCTCTTCGCCACACAAAACGTTAGCATTTCCTCCTTTTGTAGCCTTCGGCAGAGGAAGTTGCAAATCTGCAACTCACACCCACGGCGCGCGGGCGCCGCCTAGACACCCTGACACGCGCGCACACACTAAAAGAATCCTACACAGCACTGGAGTCCGTGTGTAAATGCATTCTTCCGGTGTGGGTGCTGAACAGCCCATCAGCCTCGGCCGTGCTGCAGGAATCCCAAACTTGCTATATTCCAGTGGCCAGTGAAACCACAGTGACCAGTGTCTATAAGCTGCTAAAATACCCACATGTTGGATACATATTTCGAAACGTCTTGATACGAAACACATAGTCATCACTGATATTAATTTGATTGACAGTCTAACATGGGGTTAGTTGCAGTTTCTCCAGTCATATGCTGTAATTTCATTAAACAAACAAATACAGTATATAGTATATATATATAGAATATAGTTCTTTCTCATTAGACAATATAATTAAAACCCAGTATTTAGTCAAAAAGACAGGTTGGATACATTTTAATCCATATAATTTTCTTCGTGGCATGTCTAACTCTGACTGCTTGTACAACTTAGCAGTTTTCCATTTTGACACCTAAAATGCAGACGGAGCTAGAATTGATTAAACATGCAGCTTTCTGACTTCAAATGCCTTTTGGCACAATTTAATAACAACAGCTCAGAGAGAGGATTTGTTTGGAAATTGTTTCAATGCATATTAAAAAAAAAAATTATATTTCTTTTATTTCTGCTCATCCGCATAGCAACATGTGCAAGCTCACTCTAACTGCATGTAAAGCACACTGTTGAAGAAAATGTATCCTTAAAGGGTCAGCTCACCCAAACTTTGGAAACACAGATTTGGTTTGTGATGTTTACGACTTAAACATTTTATTTAGAAAATTCACAGTTCCACACAACACACACAGTGAGGTATGTGGGTTAACCAGAATACTGGGAACATTCTGGATAGAAATTGGCCTGTTGAATTTGTAAAAATGGCTGCAGAGATCTCAAAGAGCAATGTAATTAACCTGATCAAATAAAACTAAGCTTGTCTGTAATACTCAAGACCAGATTTTGTTTTAATTTTGTGATATGGATGAAACGACCCTTAGCTTTTAACCTAATACTAAGTCTGTCACTTTACAGGTCTCTGTTTGATCATCGCCAGCTTGGGTGAGTTCATGACCAACATTAATCATAAAAAATCTATACATCAGCAATCTATACTAGCAAATAAATAATCCACTATGATTTTCTTCCATGTCTCAGCCTCTTCCTCCAGGCTGGTGTGTTACTATAACAGGACAGAAAGTTCACGGTTTCAAATATTGATCCCAACCAGTGTACCCATCTGAGCTATGCCTTTTCTGACATTAACAACTAACAAAACCTGGTCCCCAGCAGTGCAGCTGACACACAAGGCTATCAGTCCTTTAATGGACTCAAATCCAGGTCAGTGCTTTACCCTATGAATGTTGTGAAAATTATGTTGAATTAATAATGTGTTGTTAGATAATCATTACTAAAGTTTTATACTCCCACAGAAATCCACTGCTTGAAACCATGTTGGCGGTTGGTGGCTTGAATTTTGACACACAAAAGTAAGTTATTTGTAAGAACATTTATGCAGTTTTTGTGCCAGTGCAAAGACAAGTGAGATGCTGGTATTTCATTATAAAATAGGTTAATTTGATGATTCTAACAGACGCCAACAAAATATGTGATAGATGTAAATCTTTAGCATAACTATTAACTACATAATAATGCAAATACACATTTACACACAGTCCAACCAACAGAAATATTTATACCTAATACCTTCATTACATTATGTGAAACCAACAGCAGGTTGCTGGAAAATTATCACACAAATATGTGCACATAAACTTGGTCAGAATTACTGGCAGCTGCAAACACCAAATTAAATAAACTTGCTTATGCTGCAAAACAATTGGGTGTTTGCATTAAATCTAATTTAGTGCAACCAAAGTAATCATCAGAGGCTCATATAAAATTTATTTTTTATATTTTACTACTACTTCTTTTACTACTACTGTACATTGTATTGTGCTCTAATAAAGAGGTCAGTAACTGCATATTTTTGTTTTTTGGATCATTGTGTGGATCATCTTCATCATCATTCATAATTACAAGTGAAAAACATGGTAACCAGACCATTTGCTTGAGGCTGTACATGCATAACCTTGTTCTTTGTGCTGCTCTTTGTGTTTGAGCTATTAAAACAGTGCCCTTAAATGCATGTGGATTGTCTTCTTGAACACAATGTTTTGTTCAAATGTTTTTTCAGATTCAGTAAAATGGCGGCATCACAACAAAACAGAGCAAACGTCATCCAGTCCGCTATCACACTACTGAGAACAAATGGGTTTCATGGGCTAAACCTTGACTGGAGGTACCCTGGAGGAGCTGGAAGCCAACCACAGGACAAGCAGAGATTCACACTGCTGTGCAAGGTCAGATCCTCAATTTCTCTTCTGGGACAGTCACTGTCAGAAATAATCCATACTACTTACTTAACTGAGACTGAACCATGCTTCTGTGTTTTATAGGAGCTCAAAGACGCCTTTATGGCTGAGGAAACAGCAACTAACCATGACAGATTACTCGTCACTGCTAGTGTCTCTGCTGAGAGAGCAACAACTCGATGACTATTATGAAATTGATTGCCACGCTAAAATAATCTTATATAATCCTCTTGACATTTACTACAACGATCCATCTAGCTGTCATGCGTTTTCTTTACCACACAAAACGTCATCTCTTCTGCATTTTATCAAGGCAATCTGGATTTCATTAAGTGGTCTGACATTTGACTTTCTTCACGGCCCTGGGAAGGTGCAACAGACATCACCAGCCCCTTACTACCGGGGATCCAAAGACAATGGCGAGACAAATCTATCTAACACTGCAAGTACTGCTCCACTGCCTGAACACCTTTCCTTATTTAGAGCGATGCTCCTTTCATCCTAATAGTCTTTTTTCCTTTTCCATATTTCAGGACTCTGGCCATCGAAGTTAACAGGACCAAGGGAGCACCTACAGAAAAAGCTAAACTTGGGGTTATCAGCATATGGGCCAAGCTTTTTTACCCTCCTCCTCTACGTCCGTGATGTTGGAGCACCAGCAGTGAGTCCTGGTGAGGACTTTGAGTAAAACTGCAAGCTGTGAACAGCCTGACTATAGTCTAACAGCTTTCACTATATTTCCTCCAACAATTTTCTATGTGTGTTAATATTAGATCTGAATGTGACATTTGACCTTTCTTTTCAGATTTGCCATTATCTTGAAGGGGTTCCAATCCAG